CCGAGAAAAACGATAAACCGAATGGACTTCGAGAAAAAAACGATGAAAGAAAAGGGAAGAGGAGAACAAAGAAAAAAAGCCAAAAAAAGAATCTGCATGGATGGTACTATGATCCAATGTTATAGTCAAGTTTTATACCAAAACAGTTCTTATCGAAATTTTATTATTATGATATTAGTTGAAGAGTGATTAAATAGCAACGAAAAATAGAATATCGTTTTCTCTGTCAGCTCATTAAAAAAAAGAAAATTTCTTCCAACTTTCTATAGAAAAATAAAGTAATGCCGCTACTGCTTTTGAATTCCCGTAAGTATGTTTCGAGGATATCCGCTTGAAGGCACTGTAGTATAGTGGTCCGCCCTAATGACAAGAGAGAAAAATTTTCTAAATGTTTACAACTGCTGTGCAGGCATTTTCCAACCGATTGGAATAGTTTTAACATATTCAGAATCTTGGATGTGGGCAGTGTCGAACAATGCAAGAATCACATTTTTCGCTAAAAAATATGGGCGTGGTTGATCCCTTACATGAGCCCACACCCACATTCACGCCCTGGTAATGGATCCATTGTCAGTTATCTACTAACGTAACTGATCAGTAACGGTAACTTTCATCTCTAAGTCCAAGTGAAGTACGGGAAGTCTTGCTTTTTCTCTCTAAGATTTTCTTCACTATTTTAAGGGCAAAACATAGTGTTGTCCGGGCCAATCATAGGTTTGGTGGAACCTTCTTTCATATAGCTTGGACAATATCATGTTTTGTTCTTACAATAGTGGAGAAACTTTCAACATAATGACACCGGTTCTTCCCTGGTTATATTATGTGGAGTTTGACAGACAAATTAGAGTACTTTATTGTTATAATACACATCATAATTCAAGAGGAGGACTAAAACTCAAATTCCATAACTAAAGCACAAAATCCAATGCATTGAACCTCCAAACTACTCAAAACTCAAAACTGCCAAACCCAACACCCAAGGGTTTTGGTATTGGTACATTCCTATAAATAGTGATTTATCGAAAAATTTCGATGATCATCGATATATTGCGATTGATCGGCAGTATTTTAAAAACTTTGCGATAATCGCTAAGATCGCAGCGCTAATGATGACATGGACAATTAAGTTGAAAAGTCATCCATCATCAATTTCGATCCTGAAAATAAAAAAAGTAAGTCTTACAATTAGGATAGCTATCTTGTAAATATTATATTCTACGTCGCCCATTGGAGCATAGTTTAAACTGTGAAATATAGCATCCAGACCGATTCTATTGTCTACTGCTGGAAGTTTTAGAAAAGGACTAAGTTACTTGAAAAGAAGAGATGCAAAGTTAAATGTTTTTATCCCGTCAAGTGTTTTCTATTTCGTTCTCTTTATCTGAAGAGCAATATTGAATCATACGAACGATTTTGTAGAGAATTTCATGATGCAATTTTTAGTAAGAATAAAATCCTGAAAATAAAACATTACCTACTTAATATATAAACGAAATACTAAGTGTCCGATTTATTATGAAAAATCCGATATTTGAGTGGTGTCACAGATCCAAAAAATTGGGGATCTTAGAGATCTCCACTGGAGATATCCCATACTGACCACATTAAAACATAACATTCAATTATTACACAGTAACGATTTTTTTACTACTTCTAACTCCCTACGGAGATTGGGCATCTCTACAATAGACACTGTGTCTCTAATCAAATCTCTGTAAGAGGTGCGCCATCTCACGAGAGAAGTACCCGAAGTGATTAATCGGTTTTGAGTTCGAACTCTGTGTATAGGATAGACCCCAGTAAGATATGAAAAAGCCCAAAAGAATAAGGGCCCATAGGCCTTTCCTCCAGAGGTATAGCCATTTTACTAGAATTTTAGCCTATAGCACGGTATACGCTAACAAATAGAATGGTAATATTTCGATCTGAAATTTTGGCGGCAGATAGGTCTACTTGTAACTAGAATGCGCTGAAATTTTCAGCTAAAAGAAATGTTTTCTTCCCGAGATATTGAATTTCCAAAAATCACTGATATTTCATGAAAGATGTGAGAGGTTCTTGTCTTGTTGGAAATTCAATATCTCGGGAAGAAAGCATTTCTTTTAGCTGAAAATTTCAGCGCATTCTAGTTACAAGTAGACCTATCTGCCGCCAAAATTTCAGATCGAAATATTACCATTATATTTGTTAGCGTATACCGTACTATAGGCTAAAATTCTAGTAAAATGGCTATAACTTTGAAGGAAAGGCCTATGAGCCCTTATTCTTTTGGGCTTTTTCATATTTTACTGGCGTCTATCTTATGCACAGAGTTCGAACTCAAAACCGATTAATCACTTCGGGTACTTTCCTCGTAAGTCGATTTTCATAGAAATTAGCTTAATAGCAGAAACATACAGATTTTGAGTCATACAAAATTTTGCTTATTGTAATATCTCATTTTGTACAGAATTTAGTGCTCTACAATAGTGATGAGTTGATGTTGTTCCATAATGCAAACTATGTGAACAAAAGACTGTGCCAAAACAGTTATTTTACTTTGTACAAATACAATTTTGGACCTTTTTCCAAAATTTATTAATAGCTGTTCAATCTTACCCCAGAAGAAAAATCTGAACATATTTTCAGAAAGAGCAAAATATTCTAATTCTAACTAACTGTTCCTGGCTCTAATCTGCTGTATTTTAGACCGAAAAATAAGTGAATATTTTGTACCAAGACTTCCGCGTCATAAATTAAGCTAATCTCGTTATATGTTTATCAATGAGCAATTTAAACGCCAAATTAATTTTGTCCATTTAGTTATACTAATAGTCTTGAAATAATCATAAAAATGCATGAAAAAGATCGAATATTTTATCTAGAGTGTACAGATGGTAGTAGTAGATAGTCACTGAAACATTTTTGAAGAAGAGTATAACGAAACAAGAAAAGAAAATAAGTTAAATGGACCAATCAATGCATGTTGAAATCATTATGACCTTTTAAATTAATAGTACTATGTTCTATTTCTTACATGAAAGAATAACATGTCAGCTATTGATATATATGAAAAAATCCAGCATTGAACTTTTGCCTATAGATAGATCTTCTGATCATTCGAATTTCATAAAAATTTCAGCCCAAAAGAATGTTTTCTTCTGGAGATATTCAGTATCCAAAAAAACATATGTGTTACAATGGAAGTTCAGCACATCGAGTGTCTTCAACATGCAATATTTATTTGAACTAAACATTTCAGAACATTCTAATCAGAATAAGATTTATCTATGGGCAAAATTTCATAATTGAATTTTTTCATATATGCCTTGCCTGAAACAGGAAAATGGTCGTAACTCGAGAAGGACAATGTGTAGGGACGGACCCTTTTAGACTTCTTCTAGTCTCACTAAAATCTACTTTTGAGCAAAATATCGACTTGATCGGTGCATCACACTTGGGACCTACCTTCGTCAGATGACTAAAGCTCATCGGATCCAAAACTTTCGAACTCGAACCCGACAAGCTCTATCTGTGAGACACATTTTCTTTAGCTTTATCATTCTATGACTTATCCACATTTTTATTTATCAATCATAGCTATATAATGAAAAAAACGATACAATGCTAAAATTATTAATGTTTTGCTTCAAAACGACTTTTCAAAAGCATACATGAATTGATTTCTTCTGTTATAGGACACTAGGTCGTCTTTCATCATAATTCCACAACGCATTTTGTATGCGCAGATTTTATCCAAATGTTGCCTTGCAGCTAGCATTATTCCACTCTATTGTATAGTAATGAATCAGAGCAGTATATATGAGCAATATTAATAGACTTTAACTATTGTGAATTTAATAGTTAAGACTTACAAACATTTGAGATCTACAGAAATTTTGTGTGATTTCATTTTGTAATAAGTTAAGAAATAAAAAAACAAATCTTTTACAATATAGAAGTTAAAAACAAATTAATTCGTTTGCAAGTTATTTTTATAAAAGCATTGACAACAATAGTAATTACGTATGACTTTAAGCAAACGACAGTTCAAAGAATTGAATTAAAAACAGAAACAGATTCTTTTTTTTTCCTCAATATCTGACCATCTTTCATTTTAACCAAAGTTTTAATCGATAAGCATCAACACCATTTAAATAATACCGATATAAACGTTTTTCACGTAGAAAACCTAAATTTTCATAAAGATTTAAAGCTGCATGATTAGTTACTTCAGCCTCAAGTACAATTTCATCACATCCACGTTTAATCATTTCTCTTAAACTCATAAGAACAAGTGTTGAAGCAATTTTTTTTCGTCGATAGTCTTTCTTAATTGCTAACATTGCTATATAACCACGACGTAAAGTATTTTTATGTAAATCTAATTTTGATACAATGGCACCAATTAAATCATTTGTTTGATGATTTGAACATAAAAAACATAAATCAGGCCAATTATGAATAAAATAACGATATGTATATATTGAATATGGTTCAGATAATGTACTACTTATTAAAGACATTATAGATGACATTTGTTTTTCTGATTGATATGAATGAAAATATATATTTGAATCTAATTCATTATCAAGTAATAAATTATCAAGTTTTGTTATTAATTCCTCATCATTTGTTAATTTAATTGAAGATTCATTTTCATGATTATCACATGAACATATATCTTTATTTAATTGTTCATCCATATTATTTATTACGGAAGTATTATTAGATTGTTCAGTTTGATGATCGACAACAGTAATAGTAGTCATAGATTCTATTTTTATAATAATTTTGAAGAGAAAATAAATAAATAAATATAGACTATATCTATATATATATTATCTATCATATTATGGAATGGCTGAACAGCAAACCATCCATATCTTAAACAGTTTGAAATACTTAGTGACATCTAGAACTCTGCTTTTGACTAGAGGTTATTGATAGAGAAACAATTTAAAACATGATAAAAATCATCAAAAACAGGATACATATTTTCAAGATTTATATTAATATAAATGTCTAATTTGCGACGAAAGCCAGAAGATGAAGTTGGGCGTACTCATTCACCATTAAAAAAGAGTAATTATGGAGCAGTAACTGCTCCTCCATTGTCACAAATTCCTTATCTTAATGGTGTATTTGATGATGAAGAAACAGATCAACCAAAAATAATATATGTTCGAGAAACTGATTCGGATTATATACGTCGATGTAAATTAGGTGGTACTCCTGATTTACTCATGTATATTGATCCAGCAACATGCAAAAGTAAAGAACCGGTACCGTATCCAAGACCACTTTGGTGGGATTCTATGTGTGAACAAATTCCATCATCACTAAATTCTGATAATGATCAACAACAAGAAAAGAAATTATCGAAAAATGAACATGTATTTGGTGCTTCTGATTGGTTTGCTCATGATGAACGTAATCGTTCTCCGAATAAACAACAGAAAACAGCTTCAAGAAACTCTCAATTGTCCACCTATGCTAAAAAGAAATAATTTATTAGCAGATTTTAAAAGAAACAGGCGATTTTTATTTTAAATTTATTATGAATATTTATCATTTTTTCACAAATTTGAAATCAATTCGATAAAATGAAAGAAAAAGCATAGTTTTTTTTTAGGAAGTAATTATATGATAGAAGTAAATTTTACGTTTATGATTACGTTTCTATGAAAATATTTGTTACAAATATGAAATGATAAATGCTTGATTTTAGAAATAAACTCTAATCTTTCCAATAAGCACTATAGTTACGATTGCTCTAGTGATCAGAAAACGTCTCTGATAATAAATATTCAACAACATACTTCTAATGGTTCGGTCTCGACGATTTCAATTATTTTATAAGATTTGTTTTAGATAAAAAATTAATTTCATGGCGATTTCTTTAAGGCTTCTGACAAAAATAGGAAAGAGTAGAAGATCGAAAGAGATTTTTCTAGAATGCGATATAATTCTTGATGAATTCAACGGAAGAATCTTTTTGAAAAAGAATCGAACAAATATTCTGCTCCTTTCAAACAATTCCTACGGTTGAGAAAACCAAAACTCATTCTATTTTACATCGAATGATAAGTCAATTTAGCCAATATTGTATACTTTTTACTTACGCCATAATCTATTCAAATTATAGTCATATCATAAATTTATCAAGTATACTTATGTTTGATCTCTTTATTTGTACATGAATATTGTTCATAGTTGATCATTTGAGATATTGCATACACCACATGAGAAAACAATATCAGTTACTCGATAAATATACATTATCATGGAAAGCAAAGATTTTTACCAGTCAATAAAATATTTTCATCGACATGTTTTATTGAAATATATACTTGACATTATCAATTATAATATAGAATGTCATATAAAATAATAATCTTAAAACTAGCTATCAGATAATTCTGTTTATAGATGAAATGTCTTAATAAAAGTAACTCAACTATCATTTTAAAAATACACTTAAAATGTTATACTTACTTTGAAATCAATTTTTGTTTAAATCAATCTCACAATTGTTCAAATAACTGTGTATTGTAGGTTCATGCATCGTAGAGACGTTGAAATCAAAATCAACAATGTAACTGTATATGCAAAGGCGGGTACAAATTTATTTATATTCAAAAACAAAAATATACATTGATAAAAGACATATTGCTCAGTTTGTTATCTATCTCGCTAGCGATACAATCATGAACAATGATATTCTATTACGTTTATGGTATATAACCTATTACATATCGAGTATCCTTATTCCACTCATGATTATCTTTGGTTTTATTTTCAATCGTTTTAATCTTTTCAATATATGATTTTCGTTATTTTAGCATGTATTTTTCAATTTATAATGTTCTTAGAGTTACAATTACATAATCATAATGCTCTTTGTATGTATTCAAAGATATTTTTAACAATTGTACATTTTTTCACATTTTTCTATTTTTTATATATGATCCATACATTAACAGATAATATTCGACATGATCTTGAAAAAGATATTTTTACTAATCATACTAAATTGAAATATAATATGCAAATAAAAAGTTGCAAGTGATCAAACAACAACTAATCTCGAAAAAAAAAACAAGTATTAAGTTAATTTGTAGATAAATATTGTTAGTTAGATAGATCATTATTTGATGAGATCATTTCATATTTTCAACAATATTATCCTAATCATTGTCAGAAGAAAAAGATTAATATAACAATAAAGTATGTTGGCCATTATTTCAATTAATGTCACTTCTAACGAAAATAATCTATTGGTTAATATGTTTTTTTTTTCAAAGTATTCTACTTATTATTGCTTGGATTTATTATTACCGAATAAGACCACTAAGTGAACAATCGAGTATATCACCAAGACAAACTTTACAACAGTTTTATAATGAAATTCTTTTGCAAACTCGGCCAATTAAAAAATGACAACATTGTGAAAGCATTGACATGATGAATATTATATAAAAATTTCACTAAAAAACATATCTTGAGATCGTGCTCAGTCAACAAACACTGATATGAAAAATCCTTTTTAAACTAAAACAACTATCTCTAATCCTTTTACTAAGGAATGCGCTCGACTTTTCTATTCGTGATCTATTATTTTACACGTATTCCGTATTTCTATTTTGCTTCTTTCAAACGCCATATGTCCTATAGTTACAGTCACAGATGTTTTAAAACATCTTTTCCGAAATTCTTTCAAGTCTGTCAACAAAAAAAAGCTAGGCTTCAATTCATTCTTGATAGAAAGAGACGATTCATTTTGTAACGAAATTCAATTTTGTGTGATCCAACGGATATTAATTATATTACACAATTATTTGACAGTACTATTTTTCTGTCATCCATAATGTTACAAGACACGTGTCAAACAGACAACTAAACATGAACCACTTTTGTAAAAACAATGTCTTATTGAATTATTTTGATTGCATTATACAGTTTTTGTGTGACAGTTTCATTCAAAATAATTGATGCAATCTACGAATTCGTCTCAAGTTGCATGGTCCGATACAGCAGATACTGTATAATAACATTTCAGCACAACTTTTTTTCATCCAAAGATTTACCTTTGAATTATATACAAAATTGTATATTTCTATTAATCAAAGCATATTTCATAGGTTTTCGACACCCAACTACAAACACTTTGTTTAACATCTGCAATTTTCTAATTTAGTCTTTTTTTTTGCGAAACTATCTTATCAAACGTATTGATAGTTTAAATGATATTTGTTTTTATTGGTTATCTTGAAATTTTCATTAAACTTGAATAGTCTAACTAATGTGTGTATTGATTATTCGAAGTGGAATGATTCTTATCAACATAAGACAGAAACTTATCGCCATATCACTATGGAGTTAAATGTTGATTGGTGATTTCGCATCAGATTACGAAAATTTTCATTTATTTTAAAAAAACTGCAGCCCTTTTATGTTTTTAAATCAATGAAATATATCAAGTACTAAAAACGAAAGCATTTAGGCGTTTAACAATAAGTAAAGAACCAAACTTTATAATACAAACTCACATGCTATCATGTAACCCAACTGTGATATGACGACAATTTTCTGTCTTATGCTGATAAAAATAATTGCGCTTGAAATAATCAATACATACACTAGCTAGACTATTCAAAATCAATGAAAATTTCAAGATAATCAATAGGAACAAATAATAATAACAAAAAAAAGTAATATCATATAAATTATCAATAAGTTTGATAAGATAGTTTCGCAAAAAAGACTAAATTAGAAAGTTGCATATGTTAGACAAAATGTTTGTAGTTGGGTGTCGAAAACCTATGAAATATGCTTTGATTAATAGAAATATACAATTTTGTAGATAAATCAAAGCTTAATCTTTTAATGAAAAAAAATTCTTCTGAAATACTGAGAAACGATTGACATATTGGAAAAATACTGTATCTACCATTCATCACGCTGCAACCATTACATCGAACTATGCAATTTGAGACGAATTTGTAGATTGTATCAATTATGTTGAATGAAGCTATCACACAAAAGCTGTGTAATGCAGTCAAAATAATTCAATAAAAAATTGTTTTACAAAATTATTCACGTTTGACTGTTTATTTGACGTGTGTCTTGTAAAACTATGAAGATTATTTATTTTATTAAGCAACATACCGTCTATAGACAAAGAAAACATGAATCTTTCAAAAAACAAATAATAACGTCTGAAGAGAAGCACATTAAAAGAAATATCATTAAAATATACAACAGTCCATTTTTCTTGGTACACTCGTTACAATTTAACATTTAATTTAAAGTATGTAAATACAATATGTCTCCGCTCCAATAGATTAGTCCATGTTTTATGGAAGATCAATAAGTCATGCAATCAATTCAGAATTGTTCGCACAATCGCTAGGATATTTAAAAACAATATGAACCAATAGCTTCATCGTACATTGATTTTACATCAGTCATGAAAAAGTACACAGAAAATGGTAGATTGCTTTAGAAAAAAAAGGACTCGACAGTTTTGAAAGTTTAATTCACACTCATTTGGGAGTAGGATCGAGTTACACAGATCTTTGTTTTAAGCTTAGAAAGAAAAGTCACTTTTATTATATTATACAATCTATAAAATATGCGATATGCCGAAGTTAAGAAATTTTGTTATGTCAACATCTACCATCATCTTACACATAATCTATGGTAATTACCCTCATGTAATTAGTGTTGAATAGCATGTCCTAATTAATTATTTCTTTGGATAAAAAATGAAAGGAAAATTTTTTTTACGAACTAAATTTTTCTTTTCTAGATGTCGACATAAGTCATGTCATCTGTCAAATAAAACAACAACACGCATCTGAAAAATAAATAAACAACAAAACTGTATAAATAATCCTAACCATTTTCGTGTATATTTCACTTGTAGCAGAATTACTTTGTTATTATTAAAAATATTTTATAATAATTTGCTGTTATTAACAAAATGAAATTATTAGAAAATTCCAAACTTGATGCTATTAGTTCCACTCTATCTTTTGAAACACCTGCTTGTGATATCACAACTCGGTAAGTAAATAAAACTATATTTTTGTCGAATCATCTTCTTTTTTTAATTAAATTAGTGTGGAAAGTTATTCATGTAAAATGGCCGGTGATCCAAAAAAGTTATATAAACAATTACGAAATGAACCTGGTACATCACCACATGATCTTGAAATTCTTGGTCCATCACAAACACAATCACCTGTATATAATTATAGTTTATTAAATTCTCCAATACAAATTTTTCATACAAATCCAATGGCTCGATCAATATCAAGTGATGATGAATCAGCATTAAGTAAAACGATTCCACGAAAAACCCTTATCTTTCTTATATCAACATTAAATGCATCATTTCAACCAGATTATGAATTTAGTTCTTGCACAAGTCAAGATTTTAGTCGAGAGACTAATTTAGAGGTGTGTTGCTGTCAGTAAAAGATAATTTTATTTCCTTATATTT